ACCGTTCGCAGCCTTCCTGTTTCACAGATTTTATTTGTGCAACTTTGCATGTTTTTTTTTGTTGTTGTTTTTTTTTTGGGAAGTGCATTGTGTTCTGCGTCGTGATTGGCTGTAGACCACTGTCAATCAATCTCCTCGTGTCTCCAGTACAGTACAGAATGAGTTCAGCTTGTCAAATTTACATAAATCTTCGACCGCTAGCAGTGTGACTCTGAAGTGCTGCACTGTATGTTTGTAAGTTTTCTCCCCAACAAACACAACAATGTCGATTAAACATTTTGCACCATCAAAGGCAACCGTGGGGGCTTTGGTTTCATTGTATAATGCTGGACTTATTTTTCTACCAAGGTTTGAACTTTGAGAGTTTAAACAAGAGAGAAAATGTGAAAATGTTGATGCCTGTCTGAGAAAAGTGTATAAAGTGTGTAGTGTATAACAATAATAATAATAGTAGTTATAAAAAATAAAGCTGGCTACTGGATTTCACCTATCACGGGTTATTTTTAGAACGTAACTCCCGCGATAGACGAGGGACCACTGTAGTACTTACATTTTGTTATGTATAGATATCAAACCTTATCAAACACTGTCGATCACATCATTTTACAACAGTAACTAGAGTACGCTGCTGGTATACGGTTTGAATCAGACCTATCTGACAGACTCCAGTTTTTTCATGTAAACAGGGAGTCAGGGTTCTGTGCTGGCAGCTCTTTTTTTAACATTATACATGCTTTGTTTAGACAATATCATTAGGAAATGTGGCTTACATTTTTATTGCTATCCAGATAACACAAATTAATTAGTCAAACTACAGGAATGTCCTAAAGATACAAAGGTCTGGATTACCTCGAAATCCCTGCTTCTAAATTCTGACAAAACTGAGGTTATTCTACTCTGCCCTAAAAATTTAATGATGTCTAAGCAGATACTTACTCTGGATGGCACTACCTCAGCCTCCAGTAATGCTGTGAGTCATTTTTAATCAGGATATGCCCAACAATGTGCATATAAACAGGTATGTAGGACTGTGTTCTTTTATCTGTGCAGTATCTCTAAGATTAGAAACATCTTGTCTCAGAGTGATGCTGAAAAGCTAGTCCACCCATTTCTTCTAGGCTGGACTTTTTGTTTCCTTATTTTCAGGCTGTTCTAAAAGCTCGCTAAAAAGATTCCAGTTGATCCAGAATATTGAAGTACTGATGCATTAGTTTGTGTTTGTTCTTGCCTCTCTATGCTCTCCTTTTTCATCCCTTTTCTCCAATGGAGCAGATGGCTGCCCCTCCCCCTCCCTGAGCCTGGTTCTACCGGAGGTTTTTTTCCTGTTCAAATTGAGTTTTTCCTTCTCGCTGTCTCCAAGTGCTTGCCCATAGGGATCTTCTGTAGGATCTTAACCTTACAACGTAAAGCACCCTGATGCAACTGTTGCTTTGAGTTGGTGCTATATAAATAATTAATATAAGTTAAAGAAAAATGTATTGATGAAAGATAAATTAATCTAAAACCTTCGTCTCGCTTCATTTGCTCTCCTTGCCAGAGAAGATGATCACAATACTCATTAGACTATTTTAGTGTCCCCCTTAAACACTTCATGTCCCATAGAGCGACTGATATGCTAAACATGATACAGTATACAAAATACACTGTATAACTAATGAAACTTCTTTGCAGGCTATTAAAAAGACTTCATGATGTTTTGCTTACAGACAGCAAGTCCCAATTTAGATGCAAATATTTGTGCTCTCACATGAAAAATGGTTATTTTATTTGTGTTGAGGTTTTTATGTGCTCATTAGCACAGCTAGGAAGATTTTTGAATCTGGTGTTACAGTCGTATCAAAGTCTGCAGATTACAAAAAACTGGGGCACGAATCCACCAGCCATCACAAAATTTCACTGTATTTAGATTTTTAACAAAACTAAATGAAACATTAAAAAAAGAGAAACTAATCAAAATAAATTAAAATTATCTACACTAAAAGACTTTAGTTTTAGGCTTTGGTGAATATGTTTATTGAGACTGGTATGACCACATGACAGTGAGTCAGCTCTGACTGTGTTTGTGTTGTACTCCAAACGTCTTCAAACTTGCTCCTGGCAAACATTAGAAATCAAAATGCTACACCCAACAGACTCTAAAGTGAAACTCGCAAACCCGAGAGAGAGAAAAACAACCGAAACACAACTGTGCTCAAAACAAACACTGTTGAGGATGTTGTGTAGAGTCTCAATGTAAACCTCGACAAGGTCTCAGTACAAGGAAACCATCGGGTCGCTAAACATGGATTCGGATTCCTTGGACTAATAAAACTGGGAATATGCTCAGTCATTGCTCTCCATCCAGTGCGAGAGAGTTTAATCAGATCCAAGTTGGTGGAGCACCTAAAATACAAGTTTACCTTCTCAATGCAGCAAGAAAGGCCCCAAAAAGTCTTAAAGACACACTTTCTGTCAGCATCCTTCAACACTGTCGCGCTTCCCAGACAGCGGGGTTGCCGAGTGTCTAATATGCACACAGACACTCCATGTACAACATATTGGTGCCTTTGAAACATTTATTCGAAGGAGACGTTTACATTGGCCAACATCCGTGTGCACACACCCTGCTCCTGCAACAAACCAGCTTACAAATGGAAAAAGTCCCTCTGGGCTTTAGAGCAAACTTTAGTTGAAGAGTGACTTAAGCTTCAGCTGAACACACCCTTAAACAATGTGCGTGTGCAGGCATGAGTGGAGGTGTTACGTATCGGCTTGCAACGGTGAAAAGCGTTCTCTGTTCCTGATGCAACCCTACTTGTGGCGAACTCGCCAATTTCAAGTGTTATGGCTGTGATTTACTAGTAACCAAGGAGACTGCTGCTCCTGTTCTGTATCCAGGTGATGGTGGGATGAGTCAGGCGGGCTCGCCCTAACGCCCTTGATTCTTACTTCTGCTGAGCTGTGACCCTGCACCTCAGGTGAAACACATGACCACATTATCAACAGACGGGATGCAAATTCTTATGGGAAATGAGATTCATAAATCTGGGAGGTGTGACTTCTCATCGCTTCCAGGTGTGCGGGAGCCCCACCTTAATCACAGGGAGGGACGCAGCGAAGCACAGCAGACGGGAGGGATCTGAAAGCCAAGAATTTGTGGAGGTACAGGTTTCCAACCTTCTAAGCAAGTTGAAAACAATCCTCTCCGGTGGTGCTTTTGGACCTCGTCCTTTTTTCCCCTCTTCTCCCTTGTGCTCATTTCTCTTGCTGGCAGAGAAATGAGCACATCATCAAGATAAGAGGTGCAGAACATCAACAAGAGTTTACCGCAGCTTGAACGTCAGACTGAGACTAGTTGAGTGTAATTCGGAGGAGGTGGATCTGCTTATACTTGCATCCCAGAGGATAAAAGGTAAGTGTATTTGATAAAGGTTGGGTCAGGCTTGTGAATCTATTTATATTTTGATTTGATGTCTAATAATAGACATCAAAATAATGTTTGGAATTGGTAAAAAACCTCTGTAACCCCCTGTGAGCAAGTGATGGGGCAAAGTTGAGGACACGAGGCCTTTTTATCCTGCTAAAACTGCCAAAAAGGTCATATTTAAATCTCTGGTGCTGGAACAAAGACTCCACTGTGTAATGCGGGAAGTGCTCCTCAGCTATCACAAGTGACTATCTGACTGTCTCTCACCTCTAATCTTAACTGGTTATAACCGGCAATCGTGTTGTGTGACGGCGCTCGCTACGTCTCCTTTTCTGTCCCGGCCTCGCCTCCATGTTGCAGCTGGTTTTTCCTCCAAGCTTTGCAACGGCTCATTCATTTCCCTGCTTTGTTCTGGCATGTTTATACACTCCCTTCTCCTCCTGTGCTCTTCACACGAGCTACTGTCAAACCTCTTCTTCCTTTTGTCTCTTCCATGCTGTGACCTCTGTCATATTAGCTTCCATTTCACCATGCTTGATTTGCAGACTTTTAATGCGTTTCGGACAAACTTCTCCTCCCGACTGACAGTTTTGCAGTCAAACATGCGTGAAATGTATTTTACTCTTTTTTTGTTTCAGGATTAAAGACCTGCCACATCAAAGGACGGTTAAACAAAGGAGGACCGAATCCTCGTGTGGATTACTATAATGAATATGGCCCTTTCATCCAAGAACCTGAAATCCCTTTCTCCCCTCCTGTTCCTCTTTTATGCCCCTCTCACCTGTCTGTGCCAGTCAGCCAACAGCACCTCAACCAGTACCACAACCACCACCACAACCGTTTCCTCAAATGTTACATCCCTGATCGGAGTCCGAGGCTGCGGCAACGGGCTGCATCCCATGTACAGGTATCTGTGTGACCGCCGGGCAGCATGGGGGATTGTGCTGGAGACCCTGGCCACTGCGGGCTTCCTGCTAAGTATAGGGCTCCTCTTAACCCTGCTGATCTGGTCCCTGTGTGTCTGCATCTCATCCCGCCATTATCGAAAAAGCAACATTGGAGGCATGGTGGCCTCCATGTCCCTGTTCCTGTTGGCCACGGCGGGGATCTTCGGCATCACCTTCTCTTTCATCATCAGTCTCACCCCGCAGACGTGCCCCACTAGGCTGTTCCTCTTTGGCGTGCTCTTCTCGCTGGCCTTCTCCTGCCTGCTGGCTCGCTGCCTTGCTCTGTTGGGCTTTGCAGCAGCTCGAGGCTGGGGAGAGCCTGCTGTGGCTCTGGGGCTCTTCACTGTGCAAGTTATCATTGCCACAGAGTGGCTGATCATCGTGTTGGTCCGGGATAACAAGCGCTGCGAGTACAGCCAGGGGGAATTCGTCATGCTACTGATCTACGTCCTGTGCTTACTGGCTATCAGCTTGATTCTTTCCCTGCACCTCCTGTGCCGCAATTATTGCACTTACAGCTACAGCTACACAGGACCCATCAACCAGCAAGGGAAGCTGCACAGTGGGCTGGTCTTCGTCACACTGCTTCTCTCTGCCTGCATCTGGGTGGTGTGGATCACTATGTTCACCAAGGGGAACCCCGAGCTGGGCCGTCGGCCAAATTGGGATGACCCAGTAATTAGCATTGCCTTGGTAGCAAATGGCTGGGTGTTACTGATTGGGCATGGGTTGTCCCAGGTCGCCTTCTTCTGCAATGGGGAGGTGAAGTCCAAGGATCTCCCTTTGAGCTTTGCAGGATGGACCAGCCCCAATGCTGATATGCCAGGACTAGGAAGCCAGAAGGAGGGGAGAGACAACGGAAGTTTTGAGAATGACTTGGAGAACAAGAGAGGTGAGATGCTGTTGTGTTGATTAAAAAAAGTGTGACTTACAGTTAGATGATTTGGGACATAAAGATAATATGATTATTGAAATTATCTTTTGAAATTGACTATTTAAATCCTCACCGCATTCCTAACCACTAGCAATCCAAGAGATATCTCATTTTCTTTGACAAAGACCTAAAAATACCAGTAAATACAAATGTACAATAGAGCTGGTAAACTAGAATTTTCGCATTTAAGGATTTATACTAAGTCACGTGTACGGAAGAATTCAGGATCGACCTGACAGTTTAAAAGATGTTCATCAGTACAAGCCTATTACTCTCATGACTTTATAGGATATGATGATTATTTAATAAAAGACCACCTGGGATCCACTCTAATCGGCAATGATTATTTCTTTTTAATCAATTTAATGCCCCACTTTTTTGCACTCCTCATCAGGCTTCCTCTGATCCAAACACAAAGGGCCACGAAGCAGGAACTACTCATTCAAAATCAACTGCACCAGTTAGCATTACTCATTACTTAGTGTTAGGTGTAAGTACTTCATTATGTCTCCTTAAGTAACGTGATGTGTCCTAATCAAAATCTCACTGGTTCCTTATTACTTCCTCATTAGTTTACTACGACTCCTTAGATTAGGAGCCAAATCTACATCATCTAACTAAAGTTTGCGTGCACCACAGATCCATAAAGGATGTTGTTTCATTCTCATTTTAAAGGCGCAAAACCAGGAAAAAAACAGAATAGACTAACTATGATCAATAAGGACACATTAGCCAAATGGCTTTCCTCAAACATGAGGTAAAAATGAACCCAACCTTAGAAAATGACTCCTGCAATCTGTCAGCTCAGCTCTCACTGTGCGCCTTTACGATGAACGCATATAATGTATATAATTAGCTGACTGTGTAACGCGTCTCCCTTCAGGCCGGAGAGCTGAGCAATCGCTGCGATCGCCCTACGAGTCGGGATTCTCCATGACGGTGAGTACTGAAGGATAAACCATCCGACTCCTGCTGGTCCAACATTCAACAGTGTGACCTTTTAACTACGTGACTGAGCTATATTGTAGGATTAATTGGACTTTATCGAGGGTATTAATTGCAGCGATGTTTTGTGTTTCAGGAAATCGACACCGACAAAGATTACACCATTCCTCGCCCTCAGACTACCAACTACAATGAACCCTACGATGAATATTATGGACATGAATAAAACCTTATCTGAATAAGGCCTTACACACCTCATGGCCTAATTTGTACTTTAATGTGCAAAATGTAAATATTTTTAGTATTATAAGAAATGGTGTTTTAAGTGTGTTAGTAGGATTTAAAATCATATGTCGCCCCCAAAGAGAGCAGGCTCAGCAGCATGACTCATCTGCTTGAGTTTCATCATCGAGGCTGGACGGGTTCAGATAGTCCAGCTTTGTTCTGGCAAATCCACGGGGCGAATTCTCAACAGTGGGGCGTCTCAGTCACGGTGTGTTTGTTGCTACTCGGAGATGGCAGATAATAGCCCTGAGGTGACAGGAGGCGTGAAAGTGTCGCTTTGAAGGTGCCAAACTGCTGAGCAGAGACATCCACGAAGGAGCGAGAGGACAACTGAGAGGAACGAGAAGAGAGAACGAGGTGAGAAAGGAAAGGAAGGTGGGATCAGACGAAATGAGACAAGACAGGAGGAGATAGGACAGGAGATCCGTCAGCGCTGTGGGAGGGCTCGTGCCATCACTGATCAGCATCTTCATATTCAAAGTTACGTCACAGTTACACGTTTCTGCAAAACAACTGGAGTGATGTAGAAAGATACAACATAGGCATCTTTTTTACCCCGTAACACTTTAAAAATACGGCCTGAGGCCAAGTGCGTAATTCCTCTGTGATTAAACGGAATGTCAATACTTTATTATAACGTAATTATATTTACCTACAAATACTTAAAGGTAGGCACACAGGAATAAGGGGATAACAAATCAGGTTTTACAGAAAACAAAGAAAAACTTATACTGCAAGTAAAGCTAATTAGTGTGTAAGCAGTTTTAGTAAATTTAAGCAGTGCATAAGGCATTATGAGGAGTGCACAGATTCTGCAAATTTGATGGTATTTGTTTTTTCTTGTAAGGCAGAACAGTCCTCAACACATTTATATTAGTAAAAGAAAAGCACGGTTGAATAACAGAACATCCATCCTGCAAATCAACATAATGAATATTAAATAAACAGGCAAGAAAAGCAAGATTAATCCACTCCATAATACAGCCTGTGCTGAAAACTACAGTGTGTTTATGACATGTGATTTTTGTTTTTTTCTGTAAAAACCCAACTTGTTCTCACCTTATTCTAGTGTGCCGACCTCTAAGTATTTGTAACTAAATGTAATTACACTGTAACTTTAAAAAGAAATGCACTAAAAGTCCATTCAATTACAGGAGAACTACGCTCTTAGTCACTTATTATAAAGTGTAACCTTTATTTTACAAATGCTTGCATAATGTGCTCAATAAAAAAAGACTTCTACATAAAGGATTTCGTTCTGTCAGAGCTCAGTTTTTTTTTAATGTCCACTTAATAATTTGAATGCCTCCTTGCAGTAAACAAACACTTGTGTACAGGGAGCAGCCACCAGGGGGCAACGTCGTAACAAGTCATAGTAGATGACTAGGTAGATGTAAAACCTTTTTAGTAGCAACTATCATAGTCACGGTTTCATTTACAAGAGGCAGAATGTGCAATAAGAAATTCGTCCCTCTGTAATACACGGGAGAGAAGATGATTCAGTCTGCCATTTGTTTTCTTGCCCCCTCCCTTCCTCCCTCCGATGGCCTGTAGTGATTTGCCATCCACAAAAGGTCAGTCCCCCACTTCAAAAGATGCAATCTCTCACACACCTCCTCCTCTGTCAGGCCTCTGCCTATTCTTCCAATTAGCCCAACTTCAATTACTCAGCGAGAGCATGCCATCAAATTGGCAATTGGCCTCTTGTGCATTAGTGCAATTAGCAGGGATATGAGGTTTCCTGCCACATCCAACCCATTTACGGCCATTAACTCTAGATGCAATTAAAGATTGTTCCAGTTTGTTTCCCCCTTGGCAGTGATGAGCAAGTTTGGAGGTGGTGGAAGAGCTTATCATACAGTAAATTTGGTCTGGAGGAGTAAAAACAAAAAGAAAAGAAAAGTCAAGAGTTAACTGCAACGTAGCACCGCTGAGCTGCGTTAAACGGTGGGCATGTGGCGCCTCCATCAATCACCCGGCTCGAGCCCCACAGAGGAGGCCACGTTTCTGGACTGTCTGAGCAGGGATTCTTTGGAAGCTTGTTATCTAAATATTGCAGCATTCAGTTGACTCCCCAACTTCTCATGTCTAATGAGAAACTCCCTTATCTCTGCTTGGTATAGGATTTTGTTCTATTTAAAGCAAGCTCGCTCCTGATTGGATAACTTCACTTTAGACAAACACTGCAAAGAAAATGATAAGACTGACACAATCATGGGAAGGAAATAACATAATGGCTGCCAGCTCAACAAATCCAGAACCCTATCTGAGAATGTGCTCTATCACCTCCTGATAACTGTGAGGTAAGAGGGTCACTGCATCAAGAAACGGGAGTCAGTGACTGCCTTCAATTTCTGAGGATCCTTCAAAGTGTTTCCTTAGACAATGCCTGCCTTCTTCACTCATTCTCAGCTCAGTCCTTTTAAAAAACAGAATTTGTTTAGTTGAATCTATGAAAAATAGATAACATAGATAACAGTGTCCTTAAAAATGGACAAGTGGAGGACCAAAGAAGTGGCAAGGCTTGTAAAAATATATACGCCAGATGAGCAGTATGTGAAAGTCAGGTCCTTGAGACATATGAAAAAAGATCCAGACATGATGCAGGACCTGAGAGATGCATCTAGCCCTTCAGTTGATCAGTCTGCTGTTTGTGAAACGAGGGAGAAAAAGCTGAGGTCGCCAAAATACACAAGAACCTGACTGGAAATCAGTGGCAACTGGTCTGATGGAGTGATGGATCCAAATTTGACATTATTGGTCCAAATTGTTAATATGCAGAGAGGTCGTCAGGACAAATGTATAACAGAGAGTGTCTACAGCCGGCCGTGGCTCTGACATGGTTGGGTTGCATTTCAGCCAGTGGTGTTGGAGCTTATCAAAGCTGAAGGAAACTGTGGATGCAGAAAAGTGCCACGAGATTTAGATCAAAATGTCTGATTGGCAACGGCTTCATTTTAAAGCACGACAATGAACCCAAACAGACTGCCAATGCAGTAAAAGCAGACCTGGATAGAGAAAAACACAGTGGAGCACCGTCAGTCATGGATTGGCCTCCCCCAGAGCCCGGACCTCAACATTACTGAAGCAGTGTGGGCTCATGTTGACAGAGAACAGAACAAAGCCAACATCCCAAGACGACCTTTGAATATCCTTCCAGAAGCCTGGAGAACTATTCCTGAAGACTACTTAAAGAAATGACAAGAAAGTGTTGAATAAAGGTGGTCACACCAAATATCGACTTTCAAGCTTGTTAGAATCGTACAAACTCTGTTTTTGCCTTATAGACTGTAGTTACATGTATGTTTTCACAAGTCACTGCACCTATTTTGAATTTCCTAGCAAAATATTTAAAAACAGGAATGAATGACAGCTCAAAACTTTTGCACAGTACTATATGCAATTCTCAAATTTGGATGTTTGGGGAAGAAAAAGTTCCTGGCTTCAGATTGTGATGCAGAGTGGATGTAAAGTTGATTCGGTTGCAGTTTTTAAACAGAGCTTAAATGTGTTTTTCAACCCTCAGCTTCACGCAGCTCTCTCCTGCACTTCAGAATTAATGCACAGCAAGCATCTCCAGTTTCCAACCCACCTCTGTGCACTTTAAGGAACTGCAGCTCGGAAATTACTCAGGATTTGCTTAGTTTCAATAAATACACTAAATTTACTGGAGGTCATGTGGGAGCAGAACTGGGTGATCGTTTACGGAGCGAGAGGCAGGTATGAGTGCGAGGGCCTGCGACACTAAAGGCCAGAAAAGCTAATAACAAATCAAAGACGGGTATAAAAACCAAACAGTTTATTATTATATACATTCAATAATAATGAAGAGAATAAACAGAAGGCAGACACAAGAATGGCAAAATAAAACATTGTGAGAAAATACAAGTCACTTACTTAATTTTTAAAAAAAATCACTTGGATAAATGAGCCTTTGAGAGCATGTGACAGGGAGGAGGAAAGGGAAAAAACTTCACATGCAATTTAAACCCATTTATTAAACTGCTGTACAAAAACTCCCACTGGGCTGACTTCTTGAGTGCAGTGCAGGGAGTCGGGGTGGGGGGTGGGGGGCATCGGCAGCCAGCAGCTGAGGATGACTTTTGTTTTCAGTCCGTGTTCCTCGAGCGCACCTGTGCGGTTACTTCGCAGCTTTTCAAAATAAGATTAACTCCCAATTAGAGGAGGCAAAAAACAAAAACAACAACAAACAAACAAACAAACCAAAAAAGCGAGCGAAAGCAGCTGCGCCGCGGTCGCTGCTCAACAACGGCGCCGTGACTGCAGCTTGTTGCCAGCTGGATGAGCGAGGCGGAGAGCTTTCTAAATGAGCATCTCTGTGGGCAGGTTCATAATAATAACAACACTAACACGGCTCTGCGCAGAAGCTTTTCACCGGGGTGGACTAATGCTGTTACTCTTAACATTTTAAGGGTTTTAATCTAAAAAAAAAAAAAAAAACACCACAGGGGGGACAGACAGGTGATTACCATGAGGACCACACAGCAGAGAGCATAGATAACCCAGGTGGACTGAAGTGGACTGGACTGCCCCCCCCAACCCTCCCCCACAATCCAGACACTGTGCAGGGCCTGAACCGAGAGCAGCCGTCACTGCTGTCACCCCGCATCACACATCATCCCAGGTTCTCTCTCTTTCTTACTCCCCCCGCTGTGTAAACACGCCACGCTCCACCTCGTCTTCCTCCTTCAGCACTGCGATTTGAGTTCATGCACAAAAAAGAAAAGAAAGACTCGACACCCTTCCTCTCTCGCAAAAAGCATGCATGCATAGCAACACTTGTGGTAATACTTGTAAGAAAAACAAAAAAAAACAAGGAGGTAATGCTCATCAAAAATACTCATTGGACCCACTGCACACAGTTTCACAATCATACAAAAACAAAATACCCCCCCACCCACCCTGTCCTTGCACTGTACTACCCCGCCTTCCCCCCAAAGAAAGGAGCAGAGTGAGAGGGAGAGACAGTGGGGGACGCTGTGATTCTGTCAGCTGATGATTAATGGCTCAGCTTCTCACCTTCACCAACACTGCCACAAAGTCCCTTCACTGACCGCCCACACATTGTTTCATTGTTCAAAAAAAAAGGTGAACACTGCTGGGCCTCTGGACCCCTTTTGACATCGTGCCGCCCCCCACCCTCCCCTCCTAATTTACTTTTTAATTTGGCCCTTCAGGAAAATGCACTTTGAAATATCCTCTCGGTCTACCTGCCTCTCTGTGCATCCCTCATGACTCCATCTGCTCTGATTTCCCTTGTCTGCAGCAAACACCTCTGCATCTGCACTGTGTGCTCATGGGTTAGTGCAAAAAAAAAAAAATAAGAAAAAAGAAAAGCTAATAAATGACACTTAAGACCAAATTAAACCCAGCAGTGTCATTATATTCTGCAGGCTGGATTAAAGGTGTATTCCCTGTCTTGCAGACATTGCTTTTATGACATTTCCCAGGGGTGCTGCTACGACGCTGTACAGCTTCAACCCACACATTAAAAAAAAATAAAAATTACAGCTAAAGAATAAAGTAAAGGCAGAAAAACACAAAAATAAAAACAAAATACACAAGGACACACAAAAAAAAGAAATGTGCTTTCCTCTGAAAATCTTTGGAACTGAAAAAAAGGCAAATAATAGCAATAACGACAACAACCACGAGAGAGTAAATGCAGATGCAACACTTACAGGTCCTGCTGTGCCTTCAGGTGCACCAGGAAAGCTTTGAAAGTATTCAGAGTGAACCATCCCAGAGAGCATGATGAGGGGCCTAAGAGTTACATAATGATGTGAAAACCTAGTGAAAACACTGCATATAAATAGAAACAAAACCGATAATGAATCCCGTCTCTGTGCTTCCCTGCACTCTCTCTGCTCTGCCGAGTCGAGATCACACACCATTTCCCGAACGACGGCCAGGAGGGATCGGCGTCCGTTCGACTGACAGGTTATTTGTTTCCCAACACGGGTGGTGCGGGTGCTGAAGCTAGTTCCACTCGTGTCCTGTGGATCTTTTTGATGTGATCGGCAGGAACGTCTGACGGTTTAGGAGATAGAAACGAGTCCTTTATTTCTCCTTTTGGAAGAAGCAGACTTGAGGACGAGGCCTTTAAAAAGACGGTCGTGATGTCTCCATGTTGGAGTTGCACTTGCAGTAATGACTGGAGTATGTGCAGGCGAGCATTAAGGACAAAAACTCAAAATCACTGAGCCACGTGGTGTTTTTTGTTTGTTTTTTCCGACATGATGACACGTCTGCGGCAGGCAAAACAAACGAGGTACTGCAGAAAAAAAAA